AAATGTTAAGCATTTTAAAGCAGTTTATTGCTGTAGCTTATAAACAGGTTTGTCCTCCATTATTTTGGGGAAATGCATCAGGTCGCAATGATTTCTGGGCAAGTTCTGCTGTTGAAGTCGACGCTGGTGGGTCCCCCTATCTTACACCCTTCATTTCAGCTAATAATGTAATGAAACAGCCCTTAAAGTTGTAATTTGTAAGATTTTAAGTTTAAAACATTCCAAAATTAGCTAAAATTATCAACAGAATGTAAAGAAATAACAGTCTATGTTTCGTGTTGAAGAGAAATCTACTGAGGTTAGCATGCTAACCAGTTAGCCTCGGCCCACCCTGTCTTATAATACAACTTTGTACCTCAAGAGACAATAATGAGTCACTGCAACCTCTTATCAATCAAGTTGAAGGTACCACCCCAGGTTAGAACCTTTAACAACACGTAGCCAATGAAAGGAACAGTTAACACAATGATGGCTGGAGCTCTTGGTAACCATTTTCACCACCGCCACCCGCTGCCGGAAAGAAACCACATTCAGCAGCAGACAAGAAGTAAACAGAAACGAAACAAGAGTTCACAGTGGTATTGCTTTCCACCACTGAAGACCGCTGCTGAGTAAAGGATGGAGGGATGGAGGTGGATGTTGAACTTTAAATGTTTCTTCTTGACTGGTAAGGAGGGAATAGTGGTAAGGAAGGAGGAGGAGGGTTTTTGCATGTCCTTGTTTCTTATGACAGGGGTGGACACCACAACTTTCTGGTGATATTTTAACCCCTATTTGTCTGGAGTGAATTTAACAGGTTGAATGTTCTTACATATTTTTGGTCAGCATCTGGCCCAAATTAGGCACAGTTGTGTGGTTCACCTTTGGCTGACTTGTGGCCCTGATCTGGTACAGATGTGGCCCACATCTAGCAACTGTGAGTGGTCTGCCCAAGTGCCGTCAATCCATGTGGCAAGTGGGCCAGATGAAAATGGGGGGTGGGATGTAGGCCAGATCTGGGCCAGAATAATTTTGCCATCTGAAATTCCAGTGCCCCTCTAACCCTGTCCCCAATTCCACTAGTGCTCGGGAATCGATCCTCAAAGAATCGATTTCTCGACTCCAACACATCTGGGAGGCTAATGACTCTGAGAGTCAGAAAGTTTGGAGTTGACTTTGTGTTTTTTCATCGTAACTGGCTTGAGAGGCATTTGATGGAGATGTGCGTGCAGCAGGAGAGAGATTGAGTTTGAGTAGTGGGAGTTTGTTTAATTGACAGCTTTAAACAAGGTCAGCACTGCTCACCGCTGCTGTAAGCAAACTGCTCCCAGAAACGTTTTCAGTATGCCAGCTTCTACACTGCACCACTCTGCACCCTGACTCTGCATTTTTCACAGAATGTTGAAATTGGCCTTTTATTTGCCTGTTGTTTATCTGAAATTTCCATTCCACCATAAACAATGCCACAGTGACAGCCTACGCACCACTAAGGTAAATGCTGCATCATTTAAGGTGGAATGGAAAAGCTGAATGAGCTGGTGGAAGAAACTTGGTTTCTTTTCAAAGAACTGAAAAAGAGTTGACATTTTTTATCTTTTCAAAGAATTATGACAATGGTATTGATTTTCTCATTCCCTTATTATGTGAAATAGACTATCTGATTGTAAGATGTGTTGAATCATTAATCAGCTGGAATCATTTGTCAGACTGCCTGACATTATTTGGTATAATCTGCCAATTTTTATTATCTCTCTGTAATCTGTAGCTACTCTAAAAAGTGGGTAAACTAGGTTTAGGATGGTTCAACCTTGGCTGAACCCATTTATCACCGGCTCTGGCACCATCTTGGTTGAAATTAAGTGGAGTCAAAGAGTCGACTCCATCGATTCCAGCAGCAGGAGTCGAGAGTTAAAGTCGACTCCAGTAAATCCAAAGTTGTGCATCACTAAATTCCTCTAGTCTGCGCTCTTTTAACATCCTAGAGAAGCAATATTGTCACTATTGATGGAAGAAACATGACTACTACTTTTCAGTCATGCTAACTTAAGTTACATCCATGAGCTAACGACAAGGTTAATAAACCAAGGCTAAAAGCTGTACTTTCCTGCCCACATTTAGCCCAACATTTTTCATGGCTGTCCCCAGACGTGGCTGTAGTGCAGGGGTTCCCAATCTCAGTCCTGGAGACCCCATGCTCTGAACATACTTTACACAGTTAACCAAGCACAGGGGAGTTTGTTGTTTGGTGATTTTTGTTCTAGATGCACAAAAATGTGCTTGTGTGGGGTCACCAGAACTTGGATTGGGAACCCAGCTGTAGTGTTCTCCCTGCGCTAACACATCCTGTTCCTCTCAGAAAGGTGTTGTTAATTAGTGCATTACATACCTGCCAACTTAATCCTAAAAGAAATTAGGACTGAGCTCTCAACTCTTCACTTTAATTATTTAGGCCCCATATAAATACACTTTTCATTTTGTTCTATTCATTACTGTCAATGAGTGTGTGTACATGCACTCAATAATCCGATCATAATCGGATTTCTGCAGTCATCCAATTTTTCAAACGGTCATGTAAACACCAAACTCCGATCTAGAAATAAAGACAGCTAGATTTTAGCTCAGTAATCAGATTTCTCAGTGCATGTGAACTCTTACTCTGATTTCTTTCAGATTTCTCAGTCCGAGCATGTGTGAAACAGACTGTGGAACCAAAAATAAGCAAGCAGTGCTGCCACGAGACGCAGCAAAACACTGTTGGAGTGGTGCTGAAAACAAACATGAAATAAAGGATTTGAATATTCTTCATATATGGTAAGTTTATATTTTCAGGTAAAGTGGTGCAATGTTTAAAAACAAATCTAAAAAAACAACAAAAAAAAAATCTCAAATGATCTGAAGTCTGCCAATTAATGAAGTAATGCCAATTGCATTAAAGCATTTTGCAATGTCAAACACCCACCACAGTGAATTTTACAGCGTGCCAACACTTTCCAAACGACTGCTCCCCTAGATTTGACTACACAATGTATCAAATTTAACGCAAATTTAAGGGCATTTTTGCATTGAAAATGTACAAAGTTTACATGCTGACTGATTGTGCTCAGCATCTGCACACCAAATCTGCTCCAGGGCAGGTTTAGTTAGAGACTTCAGATCATAAACAGCTCTTGGACTAATCAGGGCAAGATTCTGACCAATGGTGGACCCCTCTAGTGACATGCATGGAGTCAATTATGTGAAAAAATATTTTTTTAGCAGGGGCAGCAAATCAATAAGCATTGAATTAGCACTAACATGGTGGTACTGCGGTACTTTTTTTTACCATTATAAGCACTTCAACCATAGAATACAGAGAGTTCTTCTTCCTTCTTTGAGAAATAAGCCACTCGACTTCTCCTCATGTTTTACATGATTGGCTGTTTGTCATAAACATCACGCTTTTTTGTGCACCAGGATTAATCACAGCCTGAGTATCTAAACCTGGGCTACAACACTAAAACATTCGTTTTTAAAACGTCAATTCAATAAAAATAACATCCACCAATGCACTAAACTAAAGTTATAAAATGTATTGATGTCTGTTTTATTCAAAGATGCTGGCTGAAAATCAAACATGGATATATGCTTTGAGACACAGTGGTCACAAAAAGTATTTGGACATTTGTGCCATAGTTGCCTGGTTGGACATAAAGCGTCTACCATCGGTTTGATGTTGTGCCAAAAGTGGTTTCTTTGAAGCAAATATATTTTGCTGAACATTTAATGAAATAACCTAAAAAAATTAATTGAAGTTTACCAATAATTGAATAGTTAAAGTGTCCGAATACCTTTTGGAGCCACTGTATATGAATGACATGTCTTTTCAGCATGTCAGACTTACTCAGTTGTATATTTCTGGTTGGTTGATTTTTCTGAATAAGTTCAAATTAGTTTGAAAACTTCTGCAAAGTTCACTGGTTGAGATATAAACAGATTCATTCAGAGTGGTTTGGTGTAAATGGTGCATCTTAGCGAAACGTGTCAATTTAGATTTCTTGGTGATGGTAACCAGGGGTGGCCATGACTACAAGCAGTTTTATTTACTATCCAAAATGACCAGTGAACCTGCATGTGTCTTCTGAGTTTTTATATCGTCGCCGTCCAAATAAAAACAAGTATGTCCAAAACAGTAACTTTACAGGAGAAGGCAAAAACACTCTTATCTTTCAATGTAAGTCAATGTGAAGAGATTTTCGTCCAAGTGATTTTAGAGCATTTCTACTGATCCTTTCGTCATGTGTTCCAACACACGGCTGGTAAAAATAAACAAAAATGAAGCTACATGGTTTTCTTTGCAGCAACGATATGTAATATTGATTATGGTAAAACAGCAGTAAAACTTACAATAAAGTTTTCTTTGCATATTTCTTTGCCTCTGAACAACCTGCATGCACCCTTCCACTTTTAAAAACATATTTTAAGTCAACTTATTTTAATGCATTCAGCATATCAATGACCACTCTGTGTAGTTTTCTTTGAGCATTTTGAGGCATTAAACCCTTTAGACATCTGGTTCCTATCACCACCACTGAACAATTACGACTTTGTAAGTTTCTCTAGAATGGAGCATTTCACACCAAACCACTCTGAATGGTTTTACTTACAAAGTAACCAGAAATTTGGAAAAATGGGTGGAATTTCCCTTTAATCTTTTCAATGCAGGGTTCAGGCATCATCCATATCAGCAGGCAATACCTCTAATATTTAAAAAAAACACCTTTTCATGACCTCTAAATGTATTTCTTTACATTTTTTGAGATCTGTTTTCAGATTTTTTAGGGATCCGTCCAGCTGAACTGAAGATTCAGTTCACCTGGATCCAGGTATCAGGTTTGGTCCGCATGATTCATTTTAATAGAAGAAGAAGAAGAAGAAGAAGAATCCTAACAAAAGCAATAAGTCTCCAGCACCTCTGGTGCTTGGACCCCTAATAATACACGCTGGTCAGTTTAACAGAATAAAAGAGACCTTTTCTCACTCACCTGTGCTGAGGCTCTGCAGGCTGGGATCTGCAAGCTTATCAAAAAGCCTGATCTCTTTGATGTTCTCCTCCTTCTCCAGCAGAACGTTCAGGAGGTGCTGACCAAGGAACCCACATCCTCCTGTTATAACGTAGACCAGCTTTTCAGTGGCCATGGTGAAGCCTCGTCCTCTGCGTCTGTTGACTAATTAAGCCGCTGTGCGGATCAGGAAAGGAGCTTTAGTGGTGATCAGCGCTCCTCTGCTCCAAAACAGACCTCTGAGCGACTCCTTTCTGCTCTGCCCTGTAGAGAGGAATGAAGCGAGTGAGCGGAGCGGCTTCTGTAATATACTGTGGGAGGGGAAGGGAAGGAGGAGGGGGGGGAGCGGAGGGCGCAGAGTCAGTCACGTTCAAGTTTGGCGTTATGAAGTCAACAGTTGAGCGGTAATTCAGGAAAAGGAGAAGCCCTGATTGACGGTTATGTCGCTCGGTCAGAAACCGCTATTCTTTATTTTTATACAGCAGTTAGTTCCAGCCACGCGAGCTGATTGGTTGAGAAGCGTTCTAACCGCTGTTATTTCACCATAACGTCACGGTTTTTTCACAAACACTGTACCACTCCGCTGAGACGCCGTTGCTAAGCAGCGACTTTAACAGCTGTAGCAGACGCTCGAGCCATTTGAACGTTTTCACTTCTTACTTTGCCACAAACAGAAAATGGAGACTTCTAAGATCACATTTGACCGACAGCCGATTCGGTCAGACTCTGAAAATGAGGCTACACTAAATTCCCAAACTGTCGTCACCACTGACCAGCTTTTCAGTCGGTAGCTGAGACAGAAGAACAGCTAAACAACCTGGAATCAGCCAGAAATGAACCCAATACCGTTCGCCAAACAAAATGGGCTGTAAGACGCTTTATAGACCGGCTGGAACAAAAAAAGGATCTGGAGAACGAACTGTGCGGCGAGTTTGTTACTCTGGGTTAGAAACAAGCTGCTTGTTAAGGAACTATAATCTGGCGGAAGGAACTGCGAACATTAATTATTATCATTATCATTATTATCGCTATAACATCACGCCTGTGATGATCTACGGCGACCAAATCACAGCCGTGATGTTATAGCGATAACACACTCCTCGAGTGTTCTACCGCTTTTATACAACAGTGAAATAAATAAAGTAATAAATTAATAAACTGGGCTGTGAACGCGGCGTTTAATATGCTTTAATGTTCGCAGTTCCTTCCGCCAAATTATAGTTCCTTAACAAGCAGCTTGTTGCTACGTCAGAGTAATGAACTCCACTCACTCGCTGCACAGCCGGCAGTTCGTTCTCCAGCTCCTTACAATAAATTCCCAAACTGCCATCACCACTGAGCAGCTTTTCAGTCGGCAGCTGTGACAGAGGAACACCTAAACAACCTGGAATCAGCCAGAAATGAACCCAATACCGTTCGCCAAACGTGTAGTCTGATCTTCAGAGTCTCACCAAATCAGACTGAGCCACAAAACTGCCACAATATCAGGTTTAGCTCAGTGTTGTCATTTTTTGGCAAAATATTTTGTTTGGCAAATAAATTTCTTAAATCTTGGAGAGACTAGATCACCGTCTTGTCTTGAAATGATGTGCATCTGTGAGGAGTGAGCAATCACACGTATACAGTTTGGGGTTCTACAGAAGCTGCTGCTGCAAAGCGCTAGTTTCATTATGTGCACACACATCACGGTCGACGGTTCTCAGAGCTGCAGTTTGGAAACACTGTTGGCTGTTGCTGCTCATCAAACGTCATAAATAGTTGTGTTTCACTCTGATTTTTTTTCCCACAATTCACTCTCTGGTGTTTTCTTCTTCTTTTTTTCATGACCTAAAGGATAGTTCTGCTCATCCTCCCGTTAAAGTTATAAATATGAAGAAGGCGTGGCCCTTGCGTAATTTGTGTGGCCCTATTTAGCGTGCATAGTGAGCATGCAGGGCCAACCAGCTCCCGGCTTTAGTGTTTCAGAAAGGGCTTTAGGGGTGGGGGCTGCAAAGCTCCACCACCCCCCCCCCTCCCCCACCACCTCTGTTACAAGAACATTTGTTGTTGCTGTTGTTGTTGTTTATGTTATTGTTTGTTGGTTTAGGATGTGTTTATGTGCTGTTTTTTTATTGCGTTGGGCTGTGGGTCAGTTAGTGTGGGTTTGTGTGTCTACCATAGAGAGAAGTCACATGACTAGAAGTGACCTTCCCCACTATTCAGGCCTATTATGTTTAATAGAACAGCATTTCCTTGAGCAGAAATAATGACATTCTCTGATTCTTCTTCGTCACCAACTGCAAGTCTGACCTCAAATTGAATATCTTGGTGTAGACTCGGACTGCTGAGGATTGCTCTCCCTTCACGTTTAGCGAGCTCGGTGTTGGGGATAGAGCTTAGCCACCAGATTAGCAGAGCCTTCAAGTAAATTCTCAGGCTTCAGAAGCCTCGGCTCCTACGCTGGAATTGGAAGTTCTAAGGCAAGTTAGTGTACTACAGTTTACACAGTGCTGGGAGTTTGTACCAGCCAGACAGCACGTGTTACCAGGGTGGCGGCACACAGTGCCCTGCCATACTGAACCCAAACGACTGCCACAAATTATGCCCTTTGTGTCTTGGATTAGACCATCTCTGTGAGGCACTGCTGAAAACATGCACAAACTGCGTAATCATCCCCTTAGCTTGCCAAGAGACAAAAGCAGGCCTGGAAGTCACACTGCCAGCGCTGCCACGCTCTGCGAGGAAAGCAGTCAAGCGGCCCCCAGACAGACCAGGGCAGACGCTACATAAGAAAAGACTGCCTTAGCTCAGCTAAGAACACTTTTCAAAGATCTTAAAAACAAGCTCGTCGCTTAGTGTGAGTCGGATGCTAGACCGCAGCCGCCTGGAGAGTCTGATTTTAGGTATTTTCAAATATTTCAAAAACTAAAAACCATAAAAAAAAATGGAGATACAAGGTTTTGTTCTGAGAGCACCGATATACATACATACATACATCATACATATTCGTGCATATATATATATATACAGTAATTGCACGAATTTACACTTAAAAAATCAACAAAGTGCCATTTGTCCAGGGACGCCCAAACTTTTGTATATAACCATGTAAGTCAGTCAAGTCAGGTCTGTATTGTTATTCTTTTTATTGTATTTATTGTTGTTCTTAGGCTCTCATCTTTCACAGCTCTCTCTCTCTCTCTCTCTCTCTCTCTCTCTCTCTCTCATGCAAACGTTTAAACACCCCTTTTTTGTTGATTTACATAAATACGGCTTTTTTTCTGCAACTTTTACTGCACAAATGCTGTTTACTGACTTTCAGTAGTCAAGTAAAAGTGAAGTGAAGTCAAGTCAAGTCAAGTCAGGTCTTTATTGTTATTCTTCAATATAACTCGTATACCTTGGAACAAAATGGTGTCCTTCAGGCCCTGCAGTGCTGCACTGAGCCATAATGCGTGTTTAGTCCGTTTGCAACAGTTTCTCTGCATTTCCAAGCTTTTGCGCAGCCCTGTGAATGCAGAGAAACTGACGTTCTTGGTTTAATTAAATTACAGTAGCACTTGCATTAATGTAGCTGTGCAGACTGTTCCATTGAGTGCTTCAATAGCAAGTTTGGTACGTTTATAACCTGCAATCTACAATGTACTGCTGTGTCCCTCCTCAGTCAGTTCTCTAGCTTAGGGGTGTCCAGTCTTAACCGCAAAGGGCCAGTTTGGCTGCAGCTTTTCATTCCAAACCAGCAGGAGGTCCACGTTTGACATTTCTGTGGTTTCATGCACCAAAAACACTCAGAATTCATTTTTAGATAAGCATAAATATACAGGCTGTTTTTGTTGTCGTGCCTTTAAGACTGATATATGCACACGACATCTCTTCTGATTGCCTGCACTGCAATGTGCCACTGAAACACCGTCTGTGTGCAAAACTACATACTTCCATACTAAATCGTATTATAGTACACCACCAGTAGAAGTCCATTCACCATATATGTAGTTTAGTAGTATGTGCTTTTGGACGTAACTACTGATTTCAGAATTAATGGGCGGGGCTAAACTGCTGTAGACTGAAAGGGAGGATGTATGTAAATGATTAATTTTTTTGTGACATGAATTCAAAATGGGCTGTTTTACAGCTTAGTTCTCCCTATATGGACTGCAGAGTGAACAGTGAAATGTTCTGAATCTTCCACAGTGTTTTTTTATGCTTCATTCAACTCTTTTATTCCAAAACAGTGAAGAAAATGCGTTTCTCCAGGATATGGGCCCTTTAAGTCCAGTTTCCGGTGGATTTTGCAGTCGCTGGTGGGTATGAGACTAGGTAGCCAATCCGTTACATATGATATACAGAGCCCTGTTTCCCAAAAGCATCTTAGTGCTGAGATAATCTGAACTGGTAGAGAGAGTGTTCAGTGTGATGCTCGCTCGACCATTTAAGAATCACCTTTGTGCTTCTAAGATGCTTTCGGGGTGGCCAGCACAGATCAGTCAAGCACAGCTGGACTGTGGAAGGACAAAATACGTCTTTGTAAAAGATAAGAGATGAAGGTACACCGTGTGCAGGAGGGCCAAAGGGCTCTTTGCAACAGGTTTTATAGCATTTTAGGCTTGATAAGAGCGATACCCTTTGCATTGCCATGCTATCGTGATTTGTAGTGGGTCCTCTAAGAGTCATTAGTCACTTCAAACGCTGCCTTAAAACAGATGTCATGAAAGTACTGGGACACAGAACGTCTATGCAATAGGGCTATATCTGTTTTTTCCCTCTGAAATGAGGTTGGAACTGCCTCTGATATCTCTTCCATAGTCCAGCTCCAATGATCCGGTTCTGATGAATATTTTATTCCTGCCCCTGAGGTCCACATATTATGTTTGGCTTGTTTTATGTTCAAAAAGCGCCATCATTCATTTTTATATGAACTTTTATCTCCCTGTCTTTATCCCTTAGAGCAGCGGTTCCCAACCCAGGTCCTGGACAAGCCCTTCCTGAGGAGAAGTGCGTGTTTTAGAGCAGGAAGACATAAAAATGTGCAGGGTAGAGGAAACTCCAGGACTAGGGCTGGGAAGTTGTGCTTTAAAGTTTTTTTTACTATGCCTTTAAAGGGAAATCCCACCCATTTATCAAAAAATCTGAATAATTAAATGGTTAAGATGTGAACAAAGTCATCCAGAATGGTTTGGTGTGAAATGCTCAGTTTTAGAGAAACTTACCAAGTCAGAGTTGTTCACAGTGGTGGTGATAGGAACCAGACGTCTCAAGAGTTTAATGCCTCTAAAAGCTCCCTCAAAGAAAGTTATTGTATGAAATGGTTACAGATTTGCTGCCTGAGACATTGTTTTATAAAAGTTTTGAGAGGGTTTGGGCCTA